AACCTGAGAGGCTGTGTGGTACTTGTATACTATCTGACATAAACTAACCTGAGAGGCTGTGTGGTACTTGTATACTATCTGACTTAAGACTAACCTGAGAGGCTGTGTGGTACTTGTATACTATCTGACTTAAGACTAACCTGAGAGGCTGTGTGGTACTTGTATAAAGTCACTGTCCCTGTGGATGAAGAAGCCACGATCTCATCTGATCCAATATACTACAAAATCAAAAGAAATTGATATTACGTATGTTCAAAACTTCAAATATGTCCAATGCACTACACTGTAAACATAGTACTTCATTTAGCTGTGTACTCTTTTCAGTGCTTTTGGCGAAAGGAACTTTCTGAATTCCACAAAATCAAGTACAGTTGTACTAATTTAAATATGCTAGATGTCTTGCACATATACATGTTCTCATGAACACTTGGGATTTTTTCCTCATCACTTCCAGGTTTTGGTGTCGAAGACTATCCATATTAAAATCATTTGGTATGATTTGAGTTGCCGTCAAAAATATACACACCTATCTTACCTTCATTATATCAAAAACTTTCTGATGAATACATCAAAGAAAATGAACCATTTATAAATCCAGTAAACAAAATGAATCATAGGGCAAAAACACAGAACCATGAATTTACGCTCTGTAGATAAAACTCAAGATTCAACAGTTTTAAAAAAGCCACAATGAGTTTACAGCTATTGGACTTCAGCAAGCAACACTTTGGATGTACATGTTTATCATGAGAGTACTGTGTAAGCCAATCATTACAGCTAGACTACTTTTGAGACAATATTTCATCATTACCTCTAACCCCAAGACATCTCCATCATGTATATCGTGGGTTATTTTAGAATCAGTCTACTATATATAATTCTCTGACATTACCTCCAGTCCTGTGACATCTCCATTGTGAGTTATATCACACTTCAGAGTGGGCTCCATTCCTTCTCCTTCATCATCTTCCATGGGCCTCTGTGTCGGGGGTCCCACGTACCAGAGAGATATTTTGTTTTCCTAGAAAATATAAGAAAAAAACACCAAACAATAAGAAAAAAAAATGACTTGGTTATCTTGAACACTGATATCTGGAATACCTTGGATATGTTTGACGATAAACCGTTTGTCGGTATACCGCGGTTTATTTTTCCACGATTCAGTTCACCATACGTGAAACTGATACCACAGTTCGGTTTAAATCGGTCCGTAATTATCCGATTCGTCCGTCATTTACAATTTCAAAATGGCTTCCGCACGAAACATGAGGTCAATGAAACTGCAGAAACGGCAAATAAACTTGTTTCCAGTCTCATATTCAACGGGCCGAAGGATGTTATCACTTTCCTAGTGTTAGCGTAATGAGCATTTGATAAAACTTTTGAGTTTTAAGCATATGATGACAAACGCCTGACTTTTTAACCCACTATGTCACGTATCGTGATACATATGTTATCGTGAACTGAATACCGTGATATGTATCGTATCGTGGGGTAGGCGTATCGTTGCACCCCTATGTTTGACAACTTGAAAACATGAGAAAAAGGGACATTTATACATTATAAAACAACAAAAAGTTCAATTCTTGTTGGTTATCGTGATCAACATGTTAAACTGTTCTACTTCATGTACTTTGTCAGTGCTAGTAATCAAATCATTGACATGATTGACAATAAAAATTCAGTTACTTACTGAGGATAAAAAATGAAACGAATCTACTACTTCAGAAATCAAAACCAACAAAAAATCAATATTGTAACAAATTCTTCTCTGATAAAAGGTTCTTTTATAATAATTACAAACCTTGTTTTTCACCCGGTGTTGTGACCTAGTTTCGATTTGAACATAATGTTGACAGTAAATTTTATCCGCAAAAATACCTTACCTTATCGTCCCAGCTACCGGTAACAAATGTGTCTGAACATTCTAACATCTGTTTTTGACTTGGCTGCCATCTAATTTTGTTGATTTTTCTCGAAACAAACTTCACGAACGCAAACGGTTGTGTGGTCTCCGCCATTTTTGTTTCGTATGATTTGCACATGGCGGGACAAAAGGCGAAAGTAAATAAGAAACCCTTGACGCACGGCTAATCGAAAGTCGAAATTAATTCGGTAGTAATTTAATAGGTAGATTACAACTAATCTAGCTAAAGGTAATAAAAATTAAAAGACTACCCTAAAAAAATAACAAGAGGCCCATGGGCACCATCGCTCACATCAGAACATGGGCTTGTTAAAAACACATCAGCATTGAAAAGTTTACTTTTTGTGGGAGGGGGGGGGGGATCATCTTCGCTAGCCAAGTGTTCGATTCGTTTCCCTCATCTCCCTAGCCAAGTGTCCGATTCGTTTCCCTCATCTCCCAGGGGGAGATGACACTTGGCTAGCGAAGATGGAGGGGGGATTTGAATTTTCTATTACTTGAAAATGTGAATTTATTAATAAAGCATACGTGTATAATTTTGCAATACCTGAAAGGAACGTTTTTAAAAGATTTTTCCAACATATTACTTACATATTACTTGATCTCCCAAGGTGACCCCCCCCCCTTCCGGTGACAATTATTTGATTTAGTTTGAATCTTCACTTCTTGCAGATGCGTACATATCAATTTGACTAAAAAAAAAAAAAAAAACTTCTGTTCTGGAGAAGATTTTTTCCTTATATATTCTTATGTTAATCTCTGATCGCTCATTGTGGCCACACTCTAACCCGGGGGTCATGAAAAAAATTGAATCAACACTACCTGAGGATGCTTTCATCCCTCCTGGCCCAGTGGTTAAAATTCTGGAGAAGAAGATTTTAAAGAGATTTATCCCATGTATTCCTATGTAAAACTTTGACCAACCTCGCCCTACCCCCGGGGCGCCATGATTTGAACACACTTGAATCTACACTACATGAGGATGCTTCCACATGAGTTTCATCTTCTCTGGCCCAATGGATCTGGAGAAGAATATTTTTAAAGATTTTTTCTATATATTCTTATGTAAAACTTTAAACAGCCAATGTGGTCCCACCCTACCCCGACGGCCATGATTTGAACAAACTTGCATCCACGTGCACTACCTGAACATACTACCACATGAGTTTCATCTTTCTGGCCCAATGGTTCTGGAAAAGCAGATTTTTAAAAAATACAATTAATTTTTCATTAATTCACAATTATCTCCCCATGGAAGGGGACATGGCCCTTTATTTGTACAAACTTGAATCCCCTGCACCAATTAAAGGACACTTTGTGGCAAGTTTGGTTGAAACTGACCCAGCAGTTCTTAAGAAAATGAGAATGTGAAAAGTTTACAACGACAACGAGGACGACAGGCAAATTTTGATCAGGAAAGCTCACTTGAGCCTTCGGCTCAGACGAGCTAAAAAGTACAACTACCACTCATGCATGTATGTAGATGTGTTTTTGCATGCCTAATTATGTTGTAGATTTTTAATTCTTTGATTTTTTTTTCGGTTTAAGATCTAGAGACAGCTCATAATTGTTTTCTATACAGGTACAAAGTAATGACTTCAAATAAAATTGAAGACATTGACATGAAGACATGACATGAAGACATTGCTGTAAACTTGGTGCAGTCGACATTGATGTAAGCTTGCTACGACGGAGGAACCTAAAGAAATCCCAGCTCTATATACAATTAAAGTCTTTGTGTTTGCATAAAGTTGCAGCAAATACGCGAGGTATGCAGCAAGCTTTGTGGCAACGCACTTTGAAAAAAATGCGCAATTTGAAAAAAAATTTCAAAGTGCCTTAAAATTGGGACAAAATCAACTCACTTTAATTTTTTTTTCAAAGTGCGTTAATATGGTCGATATCAACACACTTTGAAAAGAAATTTTATTTTTTCAAAGTGCGTTGATTTGTACGACGGCGTGTTCGTGCCATTTTAACAATGTAGAAATTTTTTATTAAATCGTTTGTACGATTTACTAAATCGTTTGTACGATTTACTAAATCGTTTGTACGATTTACTAAATCGTTTGTACGATTTAATAAATCGTTTGTACGATTTACTAAATCGTTGTACGATTTAATAAATCGTTTGTACGATTTACTTAATTAAATCGTACAAACGATTTATTAAATTGTACAAACGATTTATAAAATCGCACAAACGATTTACTAAATTGTACAAACGATTTATTAAATCGTACAAACGATTTACTAAATCGTACAAACGATTTATTAAATCGTACAAACGATTTATTAAATTGTACAAACGATTTAGTAAATCGTACAAACGATTTAAAAAAATATTTCTACATTGTTTAAATGGCACGAATACGCCGTCGTAGATTTGGTCCTAACGCACTTTGAAACAAGATGTGTTTGTGAAACACTGATGCCCCCGTATGGCAACATAGCAAAGATTAAGCTTTTCTTAAATGCAAATTTAACTAAATAGTACCAAAAGTAGAGTATTCTCACTGTAAAACAATTGTGAAATTTAAAAGTAACCAAATGTTAAAGTTTTTTTTAAATAAGTACAAAAATCTCCAAGGTCAAGGTCAAAAGGTCAATGTAATTAATATCAAATGAAATGCCTTGCCACATAGAATACTTATGTTGAGCATGAAAGCCCTAGTCCTAACCATTCAGAAGTTATGGCCAACGTTCATTTTTTTTTAAAAAGTCAAACTCCAAGGTCAAGGTTAACGTTCTTGTTATCAAATGAAAGGTCTTGTCATAAGAATCAAATGTGTAAAGTATGAAAGCACTAGCCCTATCTCTTTAAAAGTTATGGTCAAGGTTTGCTTTTTTAAATTAGGTCAATCTCAAAGGTCAAGGTCAGAGGGTCTAAGTTCTTGGTAACCAACGAAGGGTCGACTTCTCACAAGGATTACATATATGAAGTATGAAAGCCCTATTACTTACCGTTCAAAAGTTATGACAAAGGTTAAAGTTTTTTCACAAGTACGGAAATCTACAAGGTCAAGGTCAAAGGGTCAAGGTTGTTGGTATCCAATGAAAGGTCTTTCAACAAACATTACATATGTGAAGTATAAATGTCCTGGTAACTACTGTTCAAAAGATATGGCCAAAGTAAAAGTTAAAAATTTTCATGTAAAAGTGGGTCAAACTCCAAGGTCAAGGTCAAAAGGTCAAATTTGGTGGTACACCAACGAAGGGTCTTCTCACAAGAATTATATATATGAAGTATGAAAGTCCTATTAATTATCGTTCAAAAGTTATGGCCAAGGTTAAAGTTTTTCACAAGTACGGAAATTTACAAGGTCAAAGGGTCAAGGTTGTTGGTATCCAATGAAAGGTCTTTCAACAAACATTAGATATGTGAAGTATAAATGTCGTGGAATCTACTTTTCAAAAGATATGGCCAAAGAAAAAGTTTAAAATTTTCATGTAAAAGTTGGACAAACTCCAAGGTCAAGGTCAAATTTGGTGGTACCCTAAGAAAGGTCTTGTCACAAGGAATATACATATGAAATATGAAAGTCATAGCTCCACCAAATCAAAAGTTATGGACAAGGTTAAAGTTTTTGCGGACAAACAGACTAACAGAGAGAGAGACAGAGAGACAGACAGACAGACGGACACGACAAAAACTATATACCCCCGAAACTTCGTTACGGGGGCATAAAAAAAATTTCAAAGTGCGTAATTTTTCAAAGTGCGTTGTAACAAAGCTTACTACAAACATTTTAAAATGCATGCAGATGAGGTCTGCAACAAACATTGTAATTCCAAATACACAGTATGGAAACCTTGCTGTACACATACTTGAAGCAAACATTGCTGCTAATAACGTCAGACAACACGTTCCTCAAGTTTATGTTTTATCTCTTCGTATTACTGAGTATACAAAAAATATTCATATATTTCAATCCCGTCTATAATTTCTACATTGTTTTAAAAATATTTTTAAATATAAGTACCCCAAAAATTATGATAAAAGTCATTCAAAAGATTACCCATAAGGGTTATACGTATAGGAAATATGACCTGTGGTATCTTTCTAAATATCTAGTAAGGTACCCTAAATTTTTGTGAGGAAACTTACCTATCCTTCAATAACAAATTCTTAGGATAAATTATATATTTTTGAGGAATGTGTCTTTTGGCCTTAACTTGAGCACCGCTGCTATTTGTCTACAGTATAACTTTCATGAAACGTTTCGGTTACTGTTTTCAACTCAACACATTCCTAGCTGTATACAAACAGCAAGACTACTAGAAGTCATCTTCGCTGGCCAAAGGGTTTCCATTACGATACTCTCCTCATGAGGAAAGTTTCGTATCAGAAACCCTTGGCTAGCGCAGAAGACAGCATGTTCGTGGAAAGCCTTTGTCTTGGCCTTAATTATAGAGGAATTCACCACAGGTGTTGCAAATGATGCAAGATGGTAGTCTATCTTTTTATTCAAAGACAATGTCCCCATACTATTCCTTATTAAAATGTAATATGAAATGTTTATTTCTGATACATATAAAAAGAAATTGCTATCGTTTGCACATATACTTAAAAAAAAATAACACTGAAGAAATAGTATTTCTAGCTACTTAATTTATACAAAGGCATTTAATAAGGTTGATTTAGAATCTTACATACATGGACATTAATTTCAAGGAAAGATATGTACAAAATATTAATGTGATATTAAAATAAAGATTGAAATCATGTTTTAAAGAGATATACTTGTTTATTATAAAGATAAAGCAAACATTTTCAACTTCAATTCAAACATTTTAATTTTTTCCTGTTCTTTAAAACGTCTTGCAAACATTTAGTTGTTAAATGCATGCACGTTTCAGGCGAACTTGCTGCGAACAAGAGATGGGCGTGTGTGTTTCTTGCAATGTCCTGCGAACATATATTGGGTTCCTGCAAATTTACTGCAAGCTTGAAAGATTTCAGCCAGTAGTAATCATCTGCGAACAAGAATTTTTCTTCCTGCGGACAATTTTGTATGCTGCAAACTTGCGTCAGGTCTGCAGCAAACATTTCAGTTTGATACAGCCTACTCCGGATGTATTGAAATTCGAGATTGGTATTTCTTTTGCTAAGCTTTTGAATACTTCCATGATAAACTGTATGTGGCATTAAGTTTTGAACGAAACTTCTCGGGGTTTTTCCTTACAAATACAAACATAATTTATAATGGCTTTGAGAAGAATATTATTCGCAATTTTTTATATGCATTCCGAATGATATTTTAGTCTTCATTCAAATGTAATCACTATATTTAGGTCGCCTTATTGTATAAAAGCTTAATACATCCAAGAAGCTTGACGTGTTTTATTGATATTATAGAAATTATGTCGATATTAATAAATTACAGCCACCTTAATTGTCTTTCATTAATTAAAAGCAATATGATCTGCGTTTTTGAGGAAAATTATTTTGCAGTTAAAATGTGTTATTATGAATAATTTTTATGTACTTTAAACCCTTAAGGTTAATAAAACCAAAATAAAAATTCAGACGGGTTAGAAGAAATATTTCTGTACAATCGAATACATAGAATTATTTAAGAAATCAAAAATGTACAGGACGACAATAATGCCATTTTACTTCAATATAAGGTCATAAAAAGTTCTCCCATCGCAAATATGAACAACAGAAGTTTATAAATGTCCATTTTTTTACTATCATTGAAACAGTAGATTGCAAATTTGCAACAAAATTTAACCATGTCAAACTTGCAGCTCATATTGCTTTAAGTTTGCATAAGCATAAGAATAATAATCGACGGTCTCTGGTAATCTGGTAATTTCTTCGTAACCACTTGATTGGCTGGCCCCACTCAGTCCATCTGGGCTCCTTACAATGGTCTGAACCTGAGAACCAACAGGACTTGTTGGTTCATCTGCTCCAGGAATTGAAACCGTTGTTGCTTGTGTGGCAGAACTTGAAAAACTGTTTGAAGAGGGATCGGCAAACGAAAAGTTCCTACAAAAAACCCAAGTTATTGAAAAACTCTCATTCAAACCAATTAAAAAAAACGTTTAGTAAAACAAATATAATAACCAATATTATTTATTTATTATTTATATACTAAAATACTTTCATATTAAACACCCTTTTAAACCATTCTCCACAATAAGTTAAAGTCTGTTCAGGCCCCCCTAATATAATTTATTTTCAACTACTTCTAATATTAAAATGTACGTATATGCTAAATCGTATACACTCACAAAAATTAGGATTTAAGTAACTAAAATTGATCTTATAAACCTCTTATCAAAACTTCGAGTCTTCGGAAATTGGATATTTCTCTTGAAAAAAGATATATTAATTTAAATTAATATTTTATTATGTAAAGTAAGATTACATAATGGATTGAAAACCTGGTATGGCCTATATAAGTCCTCTCCAAAGGTACCGGTAAATGTTATACGTATTGAAAACTCAACTAAAAGATGACCTTCCATTTTTGTAAAATAAAGAAAGGTTATCTTTAAGATAAGTTTTCAATACATATAATCTACTCTAAGGGCTGAGTAAACGAAACCCTTCTGTTGTATATGGTGACGTCTCTATACATGTAAGTGAGAAAAATGCTCGAATCTTTCTTTTACAACGTCATTGAACTGTGTGTCCGCCAAAATGTTCCGCCAGAATTATTGGCACTGGGACATGGACACTGTTTATCTAAAAGTTTTCATTTTTCATTCTCAAATTTTAATGTTTACAAACACTTAAGTAATTTTTTTCTATTGAACATCCAAATTTTGAATTTCAGTTGTCGATACGATACAAATGAAGAGCTCCAAACCTTTGTATGTAAACCAAGCCTGTTCTATTTTTTGTTACATAATATATGTTCGTTTAAAGCAATTTTTAAAGAAAGAAGTTAATTCTAAATTCAGGTAGATATATAGTATCTAGAGATTTGCTGAATCTCGTTTTGTTATAATCATGATGTTATCCATATGTAAACAAAATCAAGGATAGATAATCTTTAAGCTCTGTTATCTCATTAGTAAATCAACAAATGTTGTTCAACTTTTTGCTGATCATTAATATTGGCTTGGTTAGGAATTTTAAACATTAAAACTGGTATAAAAAAATCAGTTTAAACTGTGTCCAAGTCCCCTTTTAAAAAAGTAAGCAAAACCTTGTTGGCTGATGTTTTTCAAACTAATTGTTTGGCCATTTTAATCAGTTACACTATGAATTGTCGACGGATTTTCTCACTGTTTACCGATCACGACAAGGAGTACAGTGTGCCAGGGCTTCTCAGTAAATTTTAAATCAAGCCCTTCTCTTTACTCCTCAAAAGGATATTGACAGTAGTGAAAGAAAAAGTTCAAGAGTTCTGTGCAACGATATATTCAAGAAGTGGTGTGAATTAGTTGTGGATAGTCAAAAATTCCAGAGAACTTTTGGACGATTTGAGTTTAAAAGATTTTACCAAAATCAAAAGTTTCAAACCGTACAACTTTTCAACTTTAGACACAACCATTCCCCACGATAAATTAAAGTCCTTGCTTTTTGATAACACTAATAGCTGCTTTTTAATCAAAGGGAAAACTCACACATTGTGATTGCACACACAAGTACTCAGAAGTTGATATAATAATAATAATAATAATAATGATTGTAATTATATAGCGCCTTTCTAGCATAAATGCTACTCAAAGCGCTTTACAATCATTATTACCCCAGCAGACCTTAACAATCCAGAATCTTTCTCAGTGCAAGCTGCCGTTATCAGCGCTAGAACACTAACATTCTGACAATATCTTTCACTGTCTATAGCCAGGTACCCCTTTTACACTTGGGTGGAGTGAAAAAAAAAATAAAAAAGATTCTTGAGTTCCTGAATGACAATGTCTATGTGGATTTTATAGACCAGGTATTCCAACTATCTATTGGAATTTCCATGGGTACATATATCAATTGGCTCTGTTATTATTATTTCGTATAGATAGGAAGCAGAATATGGACAAAATCTTATGTGTGAAAAGAAGAAAACAATGGCTTTTGCCCTCACCTCAACATTAAGATACATGTATATCGACGGCGTATTGTCAAATAAGAATGTCATTCCCATGTCGATACAAATACCATTCCCATGTCGATACGATATATCCTGGGGAGCTTGAGATAAAAGATACTAAAGACGTTAATGGCAATTTAACTACTCCGCTTTATGATTAACGTGATGACTTTAACTTTTCTATCGTCAATTTCACTTACATATACAGCAATATACTTTCATCACCAGCATACGGAGTTTATATATCTCAGTTGATTTGATACGTAAGAGCATGCGCTATGTATGAACAATTTCTAAAACGAGGTAAATTATTGACGTACAATTTAATGAAACAAGAATATCAGCAAACTTGTTTAAAGTCATCATTTTGTAAGTTCTTTGGTCAATACATGCAATGACCTTGTCAGAAAATATAATTTATAATTGAGTTAAATGCTGACTGACGTTTTTCATACTAATTGTAAGTTCATAAGTTATACACTGAATTGACGACGGAATTTCCCGTTATTTCCCGATCATGACAAGGGACAGACGGCGGGTGTGACCAGTCAGCAGGGAATGCCTCCTTCATGGCACCTGATCCCACCTCTGATCTATTAGAGGTCCGTGTTTGCTCTGCTCCTATTTTGTATTGTTTTATGGACATTGAGATTGAATACTGTTCGTAATCTCCATATCCTTCACTTCATCATGACAGCTGATACCGCCTCCGAAGCTAGATTCAAAGGTCCGGGTTTTGCTTGCATACTTTATGTTATCTCAATATATATCATTTATAAAGATAAGGAAAAAGATTAATATACATGTTATGGATTTTTTTTACAATCTAACATAGAAAGAATAGCAAATTTATGTAGTTTCAATGAGCTCGTTCTTTCAATGCTTTATAAATTGGTACGTAAACATCATCTAATCCAGCTTTTATCTTTTTTCTTTACATGCAACCTTTCTAATTCTTTGATTAAATTGCTGTATTTTTGTTAAAACTGATACCTTCCACATCTTCTGATCGTGAATATAAGGAGGCAAATGACCAGCAATACTCCCAAACTGATGATTATCAATAGTTCGAAGTTGAAGTTTGAAGTGTTGATTAAGCTTTTCACTGAAATAAAATGAATTCAAATCAACCTATGAAGTATTTAATCTATTTGCTATATAAATGACTGGAAAACTTGTTTAGAAATGCATAATTGCGTCTCGTTACTTTTCTTGCTTTTTACAGTACACTTTTTATTTCTTCTGCACGCCTATATTTACACATAAAATAATTATCATCTCTCTTTCCAATTCCAAATGAAGGTTAAACTGCAAAATTATTTTATAGCACGATTTAAGAATAAAATAAAACAAAAAATAATTGTACCTACTCACCGTCACATTTTTCTCCAGTCCATTCAGATTTACAACCTTCTGTGCAATTACCATCTTTTGAATCACAAAAATTATTAAAACAGTTCGGGCTACAGATTTTAGAGCACAATTCACCGTAGAAGCCAGCGCAACAAATACTACCGGCATCACTCTGATTTCTACACGTCGATGGCTGACAATTTGAATTGTTTCTTTTTTCACATTTGAGACCATAATAATCTTCCTTGCAGCCACTGGCACAGGTTCCGTCTTTCGGGTTACACAAATTTTCAACACAGCCGGGACTACATTTTTCAAGACAGGAAGTGCCGTATCGTCCATCTTTACAACCATTTATACATCCGCCTTTGTCATCACAATATAAATTGTTGCAGAAAATAGAACAGTGGTTTTCGCAATGTTTCTCCCATCTTCCTTTATGACAAGACAAACAAGACCCATTAGTCTGAGAGCACGTGCTGTCATAACAGAGACTAGGACATTTTCTCTCACAGTATACTCCCCATGCAGCGGTTCTACAACCTCGATTACATATGCCGGAAGTTTGATTACAAGGTGTGATACAGAATTCAGGGCACGCTAAAAGTAAAAGAAATGAGACAATTTAGTTTTACTCTGCTATAATTTACAAAAGCAAAATTCATTTCTTTTTAATGATGTGATTTCGTATTAATAGTACATAGATGTATGAATACTCGTAAATTAATTGAATCATATATTCCAATTCTAAATTTATTAAACTTTTCCATCTATTTAATATACATCGTTCAAAAGAAATGTTTGATTATTACTCACCCAGCGATTGAATTCCATCTATAGCCAGAGTAATCATTAAACTTAAAACATACAGAAAGACAATCATTGTCAAAGAAGTGCCTGTGTTAATCGAACCCTTATGGCTTGCTGTTTAGAATTTAGAACATAGCTTCATTAGTTTGTTCTAAAAAGGCAATGTACTGAACGGAAACTAAATACAGGCAATGGTTTTTCCAAAAAGGTGTTTAACAGCTACCTCAAAAATTTAAGGATATGAAGGGTTAAAAATTTAAATGAGCAGCATTGATAATGACTAACCATCCAATATTAATGGTTTACCTTACAATGTTAATATTTGCAGATAATCGTTTAAATACAATAAAGGAAGTAGCCATGTACATAGACCTTTTGTACACGTTTTTAGATTCACCGAGTTTGATTTTGTTTGTTTGCCGGTTAACATCCCTCTCGAGAATTTAAGACTCATATGGAGACGGCACCACTTGCCGATGGAGAGCTTCAAATTATGTCCTATGCTCTGCACTCATGTTCCAGACCATTAAGAAGAGAGGGATCTTTTTTATATAAGCATCTGCGACATGGGACTTCGAGTTATATATACGATCTCATCGGAAGAAGCGGTCTCCACGTCGCACCCTAAAACCTTATGTAAATCAACAGTTAGGTCTTCATTACATTTGCACTGCACTTTACTCTGTCCATTATTTTTTTTTAAATAGTCTACTTGAAAAGACCAAAAAAGGTCTTGTTTTTTCCTCGACATCAGAATAAAGACTCAAATCTAAGATAATGGATTTATCACAGTGAAACACACCCTTTCTTAAAAACAAACTTTATTTTAGACTTTACTTTTAATTTCATATTTTTGTTGTATTTTGAATTTCACAATGTGCTTGAACGAATCTAATTCTTTAACTTTGAGTGACACTTTTCAGACTCTTAATATGTCATTACATAATGACAGAGTGCTATGTCTCTAGAACTGTTGGTCTCTTGAAACAGCATTGAGTAATTATCTGTTTTTCATGTAGAAACATCAAAGAGTCATTGAGGTTATTTAATTAGATAATATTTGTGAATCTTTTACTCATTTTACTTCATGCCAACACATGTCAATAATTTATTCATTATATACATTCTTATAAATAGTCATGTATAATGTCAATCTTTAGTCTGGAATAAACGGACTCTGCGTCCGGGGCCACTTTGAGCATATCCGATCATTTTTATATATGTCTGTTTGTTGATTTATATAAACTGTTGCCATCGTTGAGACTCATCTAATAACACGGAATCCTTCATCATTTGTTTTATCTCTGGAATTGTATATTGGTGGACCTTCGGGAATACGACACACCTATACTTCGTTTTTACCTTACGGCCACACAGCGCCTCTACCTTATACTTCGTACCCTTTACGCCAACATTCCCTCACCCCGTTTGTTCTGCAAGCAACGGATGCAGTTCCAGACGAAATCTTAGTACTGTCCAAATCTACACGGTCATAGATCTTATAAATGTTAGAGTTCTTATTGAAATGTATGAAATGTAACTGAAATGACCCCTATTTCTTATTCTTCAATGTGACAACAAAGCAATTGAGGTAAGCAATTATACCCATTGTTTCTTTTTCCTAGGAAGAATTCTACAAAATCATACATAGAATATAATCCTTTATGATTTGACTCTAATTTTACCTGAGGTATTTATTTTTGAAACTAAATTGTAACTGCAAGTTTAAAATGAATTTGAGACCGGTCGGCAGTGGGTGCTCACTCCTCCATGGTACCTGATCCCACCTCTGATGTTTTGGAGGTCCGTTTTTGGTCAGCTCCTATTTTCTATTGTTTGATGGACTTTTGATCTGGAATACTGTCCGTTATCTCCATATTTTTTATGCATTTTCAAAAAGAATGAAAGACCATATTTGCAACTATCTCTAATACAACAAACAAATTTTCAAATGAAACATATGATGATGATATATTATATCTGTCAACACATTGAAAAATTGATTTTACTATAAATTTATTTCAATAGCAACAACGTTAGTATCGTCAAAGAAACAGAGAATGGATTTCCAGCAGACAATAACAATCCTGAAAAAAGATCAAAATTGTCAATTATAATAAAAATCATCTTTAAGAAAATCGTAAGAGGAACCTTAACTTCTTTTCTTCTCTCATCACATTGACTGTACTTCATCATTTGGCTCCCTAAAGAATGGGTTCCAGATGGTATTAAATGACACTATTGCATTAAGCAGGTTGGGGGGAAATGTAAATTCCGCTATAATTATGGTATTTCACTATTATAGTGAAATTACGCTATATTTCCAGTCGTGGATACCCTCAATTTCAACTGGAAAGGGTTTTATTTTCAATTAAACAAGAAAAAGATTATTTCTGTCTGCATGGTTACGGGTATGGAGGCCTGTTATGGCAAACGGAAAGACCCATTATAACAAAAATAAAAAAGAGTGTATTGATAAACTCGATGTCTTTTCTCTTAACAAAATCAATTTATAATAACTAATCCAATATTACATATAAACGATCCCAGAAAATGTATCTACTTTTCAATATCGTCTGGTTAATTGTTCATTTCAGAAAAAACTCAATTTATTTCGGTGTCGGTAATATTTAACAAGATCGAGTGTCTGAAACCTTATTTTAACACATGTTCAAATGATTATAATTCAACAGTCTTTTTAACTCCGCAAAAATGTATCTTATTTAACATTTTATGGTTATGCACTTAGGCAAAAATGATTTTATTTTAAAATCTGAGAAAAATAGCTATAGTTTTTTTTGTTATTTAAAAAAATATTCATATCTAATTATATTCATATGAAATGAAAGTATATAGCAAAAAATCACACTAAAAGTATCAATTTTTCAGACTTTTAGATTTATGCCATTGTATTATTGTTTAAACTACAAGGAATCTTCAAATAACAAATCATCACTGCTCAGCATAAGAAGTGTCTAAAATATTTTCGACTCAATTCCACAATTAAAAATTGATGTAAAACATCAAATAAGTCGCAACAATTTAGCATTTGAAAAAGTACTTTCACAATTCTGAAAGCATATCCATGCAATGGAAGTGCAAGATATTCAAAAGTGAAGTAGAATCTTGAGAAGCGTATATTTTCATTTTACAATCAATTCTTTTATTATAGACTTCATAGGCGTCAGAACCAGTGGGTGCTAGGGGCGCCCAGCCCCCCCCCCCCCCACTTTCTTGCAAGGATAGACATTTTCTTTGTATTGAAAATTGGGTTTTATCTTTTTTGTTGGTTTAACCCCCCCCCCCCAACACACACACACTTTCAATTAGCCACCCTTTCAATTTGCTTCAGACTCCTATGGGCTTTATTACATCGATGAATATATATCGATGAATATATATCTGCATATATATATATATATATATATATATATATATATATATATATATATATATATATATATATATATATATATATATATATATATATATATATATATATATATATATATATATAAATGCATTAAAATATGTATATCCGTACTTATTAAAAAAATATTTGTATTGCTTTGAGGACAGTCTGAAATAAAAATGACCGAACCACGTGCACCCTGGATCTTGATCATGTTGCTGATAATTCCTATGTTTTCTGCAAAACAGGCTATGCTGCAAGGCACTTTGCAAGATGTGGAAACGAAATTATTCTTGTATCATTGGCAGCATTCGCAGCTAAAACATATTCAAAACAATTTTTACGAGTTGAAGAGTTTTTGATTTTTTATTAACCATGCACTTTATGCACCACGTCATTATGGTGCGAACGGAGAATCAAAATTTCCTTTTATATATATGTAATACCTTTTGTAAACTCTTTTTACGAGTATATAGTCAAAAATTATCAAATAACTTGATGAGAAATGACTATGAAATTGAAACATTATAACAATAATATTTTAAATTTTACTAATGATTTTCTACATGTTATCAATGAAGAATTATAATACTGAACTTTTACAAAAAAAACTTCTCATTTCCCATGTTTACTATTTAACAACCATGAACGAAAAGATCGGCTGCAGCAGCGGTCAATTATAATGGGTCTTTCCGTTTACCATAATGAGCCTCCACAGGTACGTAGTATCCGTGGGGGCCAGGGGGCCTGCCCCCCCACTTTTTTCCCCAACATTACCTTTACGATAGAAAATGTCTATTGAAAACATAGTTACCCCCCCCCCCCACTTTTTACCACAGTTTATACTTAGCAAGAAAATATACCATCCCCCCACCCCCCACGAAATAGCATTTTCGAGTTTGGGTAATAATAATTTTTTTTTGCTTGTCACCCTTTTTAGGTTAGTAAAAAAAAATTTTCTCAGGTTGGCCCCCCCACTTTCAAAAACGATGCTACGTGCCTGCTCCATACCCGTAACCATGCAGACAGAAATAATCTTTTTCTTGTTAAATTGAATAAACCCTTTCCAGTTTAAGTTGACAATTGTAACAAACATTAATTTGTGCACATAAATGAGCAATAAGTGAGATTCAAACAGGCTTATATATCCCTGCAATCATCGGTTGCTATGTTAAAAATGCAACTTCCGTAAAAAAAAGAGTGCTTGCATTTTCAAACGTAACGGTAGAAAATTTATTAATATTCAAAACATGCAAGCATGACAATTTTTGTTCATTGTAAAACCCACCACGACGTGCGGTTCAAACGCCTTTTATGGTATCGGGTGAAATTGAGGGTATACACGACTGGAAATATAGCGTAATTTCACTATAATAGTGAAATACCACTATTATAGCGGAATTTACGTTTCCCCCAACCTGTTAAGTACTTCAGATACTGACGAGAAGTAATAAAAATGGATCAAAAAGAATTTAACTTTCTTGATCATAAATAATGTATTGTTACATGGATACATGTATATGGTTAAATTAATTATTACCTCCATTGCGAAATTGTCTGATTCTACAACTCAACTCGGGCGTGTATGTCCCCTAACATTTACATACGTTTGGTGTGGACTCCTTGTTACATGTTCCAAAGGCACAGTCATGCTTGGAAAC